TATAGCACCAGCAAACAGTTTTTTTCTGTGCGTAATATTTCTGATTTACATAAATGCTCCTGCATTCATTATACGTTTGCGAGTGATTTTTGGGTACAGCCGATCAAGGGGGTCTATGGCTTTGTGTGCTTTATTTATTTATTTAAAATGTCCTGTTGCCAGCTTTTGCCAGTAAGCCCTACATTTCACACCCTAGACTGTGCTTGCTTTCAGGTCCTTTCACCTTTCAAAGCAACAAAAAAAAATAAAAATAAAGTTTTCAAGTTCAATAATTATTTAGAATGACATTCGCGTTAAGCGTTTTTGCAAATTTTGACGGCCTCTTACATAATAACAAATTGTTTTGCAAATTATTAAAATAATAACGCGATGTCATAACTCAAGTAGAAGAGCAATTTAAAGTTATATTTTGACAAGTTACTAACTATTCATATGACAAATTTTACTTATTGTTGGAGCAAAGGTATAAAAACTTTTCACGCAACTAAAATCAAGTTAAACGTTAACATGATTGCTCTTAAGCTAAACTTGAAAACTTTCTCGCGTTTTTTGTTGATTATTGCTTTGTTAAACATATTATTAACAAGTGTCTCTGTAGCTTTAAGATGCCGTACAGATGATGGACCATCGGAAGCCGAATTAAAGCGGGTAACGCGTAATTGTATGCGAAAACTTAGTGAGAATTATATGCAAACAACTTTAAATGGCCATCAACAAAATCAGCATACGCAACAGCATAATGTTTATCAAGAAGGAGGACGAGTAAGTGGAAGCCAGGATAGAATGTATGATCAAAGTTTTCCATCTCGCAGCCGTAGCTATGACTATGATAGTAGCTATGATGCCGGCAATGATAATCACGAGGATAATGGCGGGCCAGGATTGAATTTTAATTCCTACGAACGTCAGTCGAATAATCCAAATAATAATAATAGACAAAATTATGGAAACAATCGTCGAAGTGGAGGTAGCATCGGCTCAACAAATAATGACGATTATATGGCCCAACGCAATCGTGATAGGAATGCCAATAGTCGAACTATTGGAGATAATGGTGGCGATTATTCAAATTATAATCAAAGAAATCAATTTAAATCACACGAAAATTATAATAACAATAACAACAATAATAGTACGCGATATAATAATAGATACAATAACGATAACAAAATCAAAAACAGTAACAACAACAATTCCGCTGATGGCTTTTGTTTGGTGCATTGTTTTTTCGAGCAAATGCAAATGGTTGGTAGAAATGATTATCATTAACTAACTTATTTGTGTGTGTAACAACATATCTTTACCTCTTCCTTTTCTCCCTTTCAATTTGTTTCACTCTCAACAGCTTAATAATCGCCACTATCCAGATCAGCACAAAGTTTTATATGTCTTGACTAGGGATATCCGCGATCGTGAGTTACGCAACTTCTACACGGATACGATACATCAGTGCTTCCATTATTTGGAATCACAGCATCGCCGAGATAAATGTCAATTTTCTAGAGATTTAATCAATTGCATGACCGAATATGCTAAAGGCAATTGCGATGATTGGAATGAGTTCAGCATGATGTTTAATTAAAAAAGGAATCAGAGTTTAAATAAAATCACTTAAAACACGGAAAACAACGATGTTCATACTTTATGCTGGTTATAGGCGTTGCAGGCGTGTCCTTTAACTGCTTAAGATTATTTTCAAGTTCTTTTGCAAATATTACGAACGAGAAAATATTTACCACAAATACTACACAGCTGACCAGATATATAGATGGACAGACGAACAGACGGGCATGTTTAGATGCATTCCAAATTTGAAACTGACAAGAATTTATATAATTTACGGGATTTGTGAAACTTGTGTCTGCGACTCATAAGAGCATTGAAAAAATAATAATTTTGATACGCTATAATATTGGGTAAGTGTAGTCAATGTTTTTCCATTTTTCTGCAGGTGCTATAGCATCGCCCACAAAATATGCAAAATATTCAAATTTGTGTACACTTATCTGGTATAATTTATGAGCAATCACCAAAAAAAACTAATTTTTCATTACTTTTGAAAAGCAGAGGTGTTCTCACTTTATTCGCTACTGTAGACGAGGCCTTTGATCGATTTGGCTCCTTTTGAACACTCACTTGCGTGCAACAACTTCTAATGTTTCCGTCAAATTTCAAGTCAACAGACGTATATATATACTTTGTAGGGTCTCTGAAACTTCCTTCTATGCGTTGCAAACGTTCTGACAAAATGACTATACCCCTCATCCTTCGGTGATGGTTAAAAAAGTGATTGAATTTCATTCACTGTATATACGATGTACAAAGCGGAGGAAACTCTGCCGGAATGGCTTATAAAAGGGTTTTTCGGTTAGGGTTTACAAAAAATTAATTCATAAGAATGTTATTAGTCATAAGAATCTTATGTCACAATTTAATATGAATTTTCTTTTTTGTAATTTTTACATTAATTTTATTCGGATATATGCAGCATCCGAAGAAGCCTGAGCAGCACCCAACTTTCATAATACCGGTCGACTCTGAATCACTTTCTGAACTGATTAAGCTTATGTCTCCATCCATCCGTCGGTCCCCTTTATTTTCTTATACAACCAGCAATTTGTGAGATATTTTGGAAAAAGTGTCTACAAGGATTTATTTTAGCACAAGGATCAACATTATTGAAAGTGATTCGAATCGGCTACTTTTTCCACCACTTCATCCATAACGCCTCATTCAGAAAAGTCGCTATATATAAACAACCATATCGAGCGAAGGATCGTAAGATATTTATCGGTGCGTATGCGTATGTGTTTTCTTGCTTATAAGATCTTCTACGCTGAATACTATGGAAAGATATTCTCAGGAAAATCTCTTGAAATTCTCGCTACACATAATATAAGTGCGAATAGAAAAATACTATAAATCATACACATATCTGTAATATGCAGAGATATTCGTCCCTTTGCTCCTGTGCATTTGGGTATGGCATTGCAGCAAGAACAAATGCAAATATATATATACGTACGCATACGTACGGACAAATACCGGCTTTACAAAAACTCAATACTCTGTCAATAATTTATTAGTCATTGATTAGAATGATTCATTGATATGTCCATAAATTTGCGGACCAATAACAAAGTACATCACATGCCATCCTACATACATATTCAGTATGCATTTGTATACTTATAAATGAATACTATAAGCATGTACGTGTACATGTAAGCATATAGTAAAATATTTAACAGCATTTACATGCATTTTATGTATCTGTAAAATTTTTCCTATTGTTAAAATTGAATTTGTTGACTATAATAATTACAAGGAAACACAATCGAACACATACACATACACACACACACACACACGCCTGCATAAAGGCATATACATTTACTAATAGAAACGTTCATTTATAAAAACGTGTATATAAAAGTCAACAAATCACAAGTCAATGCCTGCACGTGCTTAGGTTTTTAGATATTAAACTGAAATAACTGTTTTATATCGAACGGAAAAGCTTCCCTTGGAACAATAATAATAACAACCGCATCGACTAAAACTTTGATACACATCATAGCAAGCATTTGCCAAATATCATTCATACATCAGGCTATATTAAAATCTGCATATTTACCTGCACATACATATATATCAATTTTTCTATTCCGTCAAAATAATGCTTTAAAATATCTAAGCTTACGATATGTGCGTAGAGACCAATGCACACGTGCCTTTGTGCCAGTACATAGTATATAATAATTGAAAAGTTCCCAGATCTAGCGAGCAATCACAGTGCAGTGTAACAGATAATCAACAAAAGATTAACATATCACACATTCACTTAAGGATATATATCGTGGTCTCATAGAGCAAAGGGTAATTACACGAAATGCTTAATACAAATATTACACTCCGGCAAAGATTAACTCTATTAATTCTAAACTAACGACGATAAGCCTTTAAGACTCATTTTGATAAAAAAAACTTAAAATAAAAATATTACAGTGAACCATGGCCTATCGTTAAATACGCTACACAATGTCGAAACAAATGGATAAACCTGTGGCTTGAAACAGACCCGCCTTCTTCCCAGGCAAGAACTTCTTGATACTGTATACATTCGCGCAAACATAATGTACCGAAAGAGGTGCATTGTATAAAGAAAATTCTTGACTTATAAAATGTGTATTATTATACCACGATATAACTTACAGTCACACAGTCAGAATGTAATCCCGTATCTTGAACAGAAGGACGTAATCGAGAACAATATTTTGAACAGGGATGGAGGAACTAAGCACATCGCTGCAAAATAGCAGCCGCAACATCACATTTAATAATTTCTTCTTGTTTACAAGCGATGAACCGAACCAAGGTTTATGCAGAAATTGCGTTTACACACAAATTTTTTCATATCCTTTGAAGCCTTTTTTTATAAATAAATGATACATTTGGTTTATAAGGGAATGAATTTAAACTATTTTAAAAATAACGAATTATATATGAGAAGCGGCCAGAAAATGGTACTCTCTTCTCTCTCAAATTTTTTAGCCAAAATAGTTTAGAGTTGGATTGAATGCAAAAATACATAAATAGACATAAAACAAACCTATAATATGTTGGAAAGATAAACTTAAACTAATCGGAAAATGATTCTGAACCAACGGGTAGAACAATAGAGTGATTCTACCGTAAATGGTTCTAAGTGTTGTATGCATCTGCGTTTATAAATACTGTACGACAAGTACTATAGGGTATAAAAATGCTCTCACAGGACCTGAAAAAACCAAATAAATTATAAAATTAACGATGAATGGAAAAATCGATGTAATTCCTGTCTGTTGTCTGCTAAAGTAGCAATTAAGACAACTAAAAGCCTTAATTTGGTCGCACATTAGTTCTGCCCACTATAGAGCGACTGCTTTTAACAATTTCACCCTCAAGATGAAGGATCTCCCCAATTTCTCATCTCTTTTGCGATTAAATCCCAAATTTTTGCGGCATTCACGATCCTGAATACCCCTCGTTCTTTAAAAAAGTGCATCCCTTCCTCGCCAAACGAAACACAATGCAGTCGCGAATAATTATTTTCATGGCGTTCCAGAAGAATATTTTGCTCTTTTCAAGGCTTTTGGAAGAGAGACACTGAAAAGTAAGCTTGTCCGTTTTGTGAACTTTTCAATTAATCTAATAAATCAACATTTTATATATGTGCATTTGGACCGTATAACAGAACTGTCTGTCTATGACAATATTCTGTTCTGTGTTTTTTAATGCGTTTGTTTATTTCTTTCATGTGAAGCATGTAAAATAGGAAAATTGAACAAAATTAAATACTAAAATGTTTAAATTATGGCAATTGTTGTCAAATAAAATAAATCAACAAAATCAAAAATAGTATAGTAACCGAGATTTACATAAAGTATTTTCTCTAACAAAATGAAATACAAACACTCTTTGGCTAGCTGCTTCGGTCCTTCAATCATATGTATACAAAATTAGGGTCATAAATATTTACATATATATGTGCATGTGCATGCAATATAAAATAAATATTCTAAAATAGCAACAACAACAACAACAACAGCCATATAAATTCTATGCATTTATATATTACGTATATATATATATATATATACACTTTTTATATCTAATCACTCAATTACGATAAACTGTATATTGTCATTTGGTGGCATACGCACAGACCCGTAGAGAGTACAACAGTAACAAATTGAATTTTATTTTATTATTCCGACCAAGCATTGAGGAAAGGGATCGTTAGCAGAAGTTTACGCTTGTTTGCAAATCTGGCATAACTCGTCCACTCGTCGTATAAATGCTATCAGTTTAAAGCACGAGTGTGAGTTAGAATGCAGACACCAATCTTGATGGGTTTTTAACAACGGTCTTTAGCTTATGTAACATTATTTACAGCGTAAAAGAACAAAACAAATGAGAAAAACAAAAAAAACTTATAAAAGCAACAGACGAACAAGATGAACACTTGCAAGCAGGCTACACACTCAGGTGTCGATTGAAGGATTTATTCAGGCAAAGAGAATGTTTTCCGTGATATCTTTGTTTCGCAAATGGCATACTTAAGTTGATCATGACAAGGTGGAATCACCTTGAAATCCATGATTTCACATTTTTACTTTTGCGTCTAATAAGTACTCGATTGCCCGTATGCAATAAAACTCATTTTTTTTTTTTTTAAAGCATAACTCATATATATATTATAATCAGACATTTTAATAAATACGTTGAATATAATCGTTATTTATTCTTAAACTTATTTCGCCTTGTAAGTCATTGATTATTAATCACTTAATTGTCTTGGATGCAGCATAAATACCTGTGTATTCAAGCCTAATCATTTGCCGAAACCACTGAAATCATTCCAACACTTTGTACTGCCAGCACGAATTCAGATTTACGTTAAGCGGAAACAATTCTTATCTTGTTATTATCATTATTATTATAATTTTGGACCAGTGAACTAAATTCTTAGACTAAAAAGAAAAACATTGAGCACCAGCAACACAGGCTATCGGCTCTAATTTATATAAGTACATTAGA